CACACCTGAACTAATGTAAAAAGTCCATCATGCGTGTTGGAATCGGGCACGGTTCAAATCCGCCTCTTTTAAAAGGCTGCGGTCCGGTGAGCACTCCACACCTGACATTTCCCCTCAAAACTGAAGCCCCCAAATCTAAAATGGCTGTTATTCTGCCACAATAATAGCAATAATAATAATAGCATTTCTTATTTTTAGACACAAATGACGACACATCTCAGTAAAACCCCTTCTGTTTCTCGCAGGTCAAAAACTTAAACAATATATATATGTATAATCTGTGCAATCCTTTTGTCTATTTTTCTATTTATTCACTATGGGCAAGGCAAGTTTATCTGTTTAGCACAGTTAAGGCTACTCAAAGTTAAGATTATGTGATCCTTTATTTGTCCCGATGTGGGGAAATGTCAGTGTTGTGTCATGAGTTACAGAACAGTAGGCATGAGGAGCACACAACCTTATTCTTTAAAAAAAAATCTCTATCTTTAGCTTAATAAAAAAGCTAAAGTTTTTGAGTTATTACAATTTTTTGAATTGTTGAGGTGTCGAATTTTTATTTTTATTTTTTTTCAGAATTTTGACAGTTCACATACATCCATTGTGAAAAACATACACCTGTATACTCCAGTGCAAAGAAAGACATACTTATCTGTACACATAGTAAGTAAGTAAGTAATCTTTATTTATATACCGCCTTTTCACTGCACATCGGCGTCTCAAAGCGGTTTACAATTGTGATTTTTTTTTGGGATTGGGGGTGCCAGTACAGGAGGCACATGCCAGACCTATTGTACATATTTTTAGTGGTAGGGGAAACCGGAGCACCCGGAGGAAACCTACGCAGACACGGGGAGAACATGCAAACTCCACTCAGAAAGGCCGTGGTCCAACCGGGATTCGAACCCAGGACCTTCTTGCTGAGAGGCGAGAGTGCTATCCACTCAGCCACCGTGCCGCCCATATGTAGATAAATGCACAAGAATAATTAAATAGTGCTTTACAAAACAAGAAGTTAAAGACTTTTTGTATGGTCTGCTTTCTATATAGATAGATACGTTATTGATCCCCTGTAGGAGAAATTAGCTCTTGTGTATATGTCATTTGTCTGTATATATATATATATATATATATATATATATATATATATATATATATATATATATATGTATTATAAGGCGTGCTTATTCATACAGACAAGGCAGCTCAAATTGAACAAGAAAGAAAACATTCAAATTATCGACGTTGCTACAGAGCTATTGTCTTGATTTCATAACTTTGATCACGTTGCGTCGTCAATATGTTAGACAGGCAAGATTTAGCTCCGCCGATGTAACAATCAAATTTGTTTTCCCCTTTCTCCTCGCAGCAATTGCAACTCTAACACCGGAAATTCCCAACTCGCGTGTTTCGTGAAGCGTTCTTAGTTGTGAAAAATAGAATGGCGCCTTTATTGCTTTGCTCACCTTTCCTCTCGGAATGAGCTATCTCAGCTGGTCTCCTTCCACTGAAAATGAGATCAAACCTGCTTTCCTCCCACCGCCGCACACACCGCGCCGCGCTCTCTGCTAATTAAAAGAGCACCTGGACGCGTGGTGTGCTGCTTGGCCCAGGACTTCTTCCACTCCAGTGCTTTTATGTGGATTCCAATGTGTGTGTGAGTGTGTGTGTGTGTGAGTGTGTGTCCATATTTATTGCACTGTGCTGGGTCACGCTGCTGGTGGTGGTGGTGATGGTCAGCTTTTGGACAGAAGCCAGTGGCCTCAGGGATCTGTGTGTGTGTGTGTGTGTGTGTGTGTGTGTGTGCATGTGTGTGTGTGTGCATGTGTGTGTGTGTGTGTGTGTGTGTTGACTTTCTTCCAAAACTTGCATCTCTCAGGCTAAGATATCCTTTCCCATTCTGTCTGAGCTACTTAGACTAAATCGATGTATGTCTGATTTTGCTCTGAAATTTAAACTTTAACAAATGGGCCTGTACATGTGAGAATTTGGAACACAGAATTTGGTTACATTGTAAAGTTGTAATGTAAAAGAGAAAGACTGCAAGAACTTTTTTCTAACACAAAAGAAACAGAGGAGTTTGGGAGATATTTTGAGGGTTTTTTTTCCAATGTTGTCTTATTCTCAGGCAGAAGCATTTGCTGAACAAAACAAGTTAGAGACAGTCACATAAGGCATTCAAATCATAAATAATCACGGTGCATTAGAAAGAGTGAAAATTAAATCCCTCAGTCGTATGCACAGCCAAACAGAACTGTTTTTAACCTGGGTTTGTACATTTTCAGAGAATGAAAAACAATGAGAAAGTAACCCCCCAATATTCAACCAGATCTGTATATTTGAATACACATAGAACAAGACACAAAATCCCAGAATGCAGGGTAAAAATGTGTTAAAAATAGCACTTACTGCACGTGTCAATTCACCATTTCTAATCCCATCATAGAACAACCACAGAATACAATGCCCACTTTGGCCTACTTCCCATCAACGACCAAAACCACCAACCATACCATGTAAGCTGCATTTCATCACTTAAAAAAAAAAACCTTCAACAAATCCCCCAAAAAAAACCTATTTTTTTCTTTTCCCACTATTTTCATCCCACACACTCAGTCCTCCATGGCCACCATTACATCCGGCACATGCGTTTGGATAGCGTAGCATGGTCTTATCACCAAAAGGCAGCTAATTTGAAGAGGTGTGTAGTTCCGCGGATGTTTTTGGCCTTGGTATTTGCGGGCGGGCTTCTGTGCCGGGTGCTTCTCTTTGCCTGAGCATTGTTCTCTTAAACAGCTGTCTCTTTGGCTGATTCAGAACAGATGGCGAGTACATGGGGCTGGCTCTATACGCTGGGTCTGTCTCGCACAAGCTGGGAGACAGAGGAGAGATAGGGGCTGCATGGGGAAGGGGACGGTGGCGCTAACTGGGAATGACAAGGGCGTGTGTTTTATGTGTATTCATCCTTCGTTTGTGTGTATTCATGCTGGGTATTTAGGTTAAGCGTCAATTTAGCGTTTTTTGGATGTACAAGGTTGAATTATCGGTTTAGGAGTAAGAACATTGACAACTTTTTTAACTCTTAATGTTTGGGAAGTTTTATATTCAATAATATCTACAAAGATAAATGTATTACATGCTGTACTGTTGATATTTAGATTGTTTTGTATTCCAGAGTTTTTTGTTGATTTTTAGATTTTGTATTGATGATATTGTTGATATATTGATAAGTTTATGAGATATTGAAAATGGAAGCAAAGAGATACCCAACAAGCATATAAAGCTGTACTCCACAATTCAATACTGGCATGTTTGCAATTCTGAATCCAAATTAATGCTGGTTAATTCACAAAATTATTAACTTTTGTTGGCAAAATTATAATACCAGTAAATTATTAGACTTCGACCACAATATATAGCATGTGGCTTGTGACCAATACAATATTTTCGTCCTGTTAGAACTTGAAGAAGTGTAATATTAACGGAGCGGAACTCAAAAACACTCAGACATTCCCAACGACTTCTGCATTTGATCCTACACGTGTAAAAATCTGTTCACTTCAAACACACCACACATACAGACAGACGTTTCCTGCTTTTTTAAACTGTTCTCAAACACCTTAACGTGAAATAGCGTGTTTGAAGCGCTCGTATGGGGGATGCTTTTCATTGAACAACGGAGGAGACAATTTTGAGAGGCGCAACGGAGATGGCCCTAGGCTAAGAGTATAAAGTCAGGAAGCGTATATTGTAGACTGGCAGACACATGAGAGAGAGAGAGAGAGAGAGAGAGAGAGAGAGAGAGAGAGAGAGAGAGAGAGAGAGAGAGAGAGAGAGAGAGAGAGAGAGAGAGAGAGAGAGAGAGAGAGAGAGAGAGAGAGAGAGAGAGAGAGAGAGAGAGAGGAGAGAGAGAGAGAGAGAGAGAGAGGGAGAGGAAATAGAGGGAGAAAATACGCCATGCTTTCGGGCATATCTGTGTCTCTATGCATCTGTTTATCCCACGGCATATCATCGCCGACGGCAACCGGTGGCCTGACAATGACAGAGCCTTCTCCTGTTTTTTTTTTATGTTTTTTTCCTTGCCGCACAAGTTGAACCGCACTTAGAGACTGGAGTGTGCAACAGTAGAAGTGTGTTGGGTGACACCGCTGGCAGCTCTCGTTGGGGACTTTTTTTTTTTGCGCACACAACACTATTTTTACCAAAGTGTAGGTGGGATTTGGCACCGGACTACTCGGGCTGCATGGTTTTTTTAAGTTCTCATCAGGTGTTTTTTGGTGTTTGTGTCAAGATTTGAAGATTTTTTCTTTCTGTCCGAGCTGATGTGTAAAGTGAATTAAAGATCATTGCAAGATCAATAGCAATAACAAAACACTGCTTTTTTTTCTCGGTGCTTTACTGGACAGGTCACGAATGCAGTTACACGTGTACAGTTAAAGGGGGGGATCAGACTTTAAAATCACACAGAAAAAACAAAAAACCTTGGAACAAAATCAATCCATCCAGTTCCCAAATCTCAAAGCAGCTTCCACCATTTGCATATATTTTTGGCCTTTGATGCGTTTTTGAATCCGTTTTTTTTCAGACAGAGAAGTGAAAAAGGGGACCACCCTCATCGAGGTCAATCAAATCTCAGCCCAAAGAGTCAAATAGTGACTCAAGGGGCTCTTTCTTACAAGTATGCAAAAGATAATTTTTTTTCTAATCAGATGAAGACAGCCTGTTGTGCACTTATTTGTTCTCAGAATTAAACTTTTTTAAACCATGCAACATTTATAGTTATCTATTTCTATTATTATTATCATTATCGTAATGCGGAAAATGTATGTGTATGTATTGTGTTAGAGTGTCCGCTGGGGCACAGGAAGCAATTTGGATACAGCTCTATCAGCTATAGCTTATCTATTATTTACTAAAAAGTCAGGTACCACAGCTTTAAAAGGACATGCTGTTTAACATGGACAGTGTAATTATTCTTCTACAGTGAAGGCCAGTCTGAACAGATGTGTTTTGTGTGGGAGTCAGTGTTTTGTGAAGGTCAGAGATCTTAAGTACATCACAAATGTACTGGAATGTGCCTGTAAGTGGTGCGTTGGTTTCGGTCTCTGGATACACACAAATAGACTCAAAAATAAACCACAACCCCAGTACAATTGTTCACTTCAAATCCACCCTTAAACACTCATCTGTTTAGACGAGCCGACTCACTAACACCATAACTACACAATCCTCTGCTCATACTGCTTCTAACTTTGTATGTAAGTAGTCATGGGTATATATATATATATAGCACATATTTTTAAAGACCAAAGTCACCCAAAGTGCTTTACAATTTACAGAGTTCAGATATGGCACGTTTACTGTATTTTAACAATTATTTTACCTGGTTTTAAAAGTGTCAAGAAAGGCGCCTAAAAAATAAAATGTAAATAACTAAATAAATGGGTTATTATTTTTATTGAAACATACAACAAAGATGTGGTACCCAAAGTGAAATAGCTGCTCTGGGTAAAAGTGACCAAACATAGTTACTTGTGTTGCAAAAAGGTTTCAAATGATATCATCACAAAAAAATGTATAACGTTATTTAAATTTGGCAGGGGCTGTAGGATTAAGCGATAAGTCTAAAAGCAGCTCACTATGTAGAACTTAACGACATGTTCAGATTTGTCATCCTTGAGTTAAATCAATGTAACACTTTTTTAATTTTAGTTGAGGGAGTAGAGAAGCCCTAAGAGGAAAGTTATCAAACAGTATAAACAGAAAAATGTACAGCCGAATTTACCCAAAAATGTTATCCCTGGTTATATAAAATCATACAAATAAACTTTATTTATATAGCGCATTTAAGTTTTATTTCTCACATAATTCAATGCGTGCTCTGTGCCATCCTCTCTGCCCTGCACTTTGAGGTCAATCCAACTATTAAAATTAAATAATACAAAATCTCAAATCTAATCTCATTTTTTTTATATTTTTAATTAACATTTGTTGGTAGTATTCACATGGTTTGTGGCCTTTCCGTCCCATATCTGCCACTCTGCGTCTCACAGCGAAACAGTTTGGACAGCCCATGATTGAGATGGATTCCTGTATCCATTGCAAGTGATTTGAAAAACATATAACATTAGAGATCGTTTATCAAAATCATCTCTCCTTGTGTTTAGAAATGTCCTCACCACACCCGCTCCACTGGCCCTCGGTGTTTACATACCAGGTTACATGAGTGATGCTTTGCTACGCAGAGGAATGTTCGGACCATGTTCACAAACAGCCTTTATCTACGCTACTCTGCATCACTTCTGCCTCGTCGTTTCATAATTCTAACATTCTGGGCAAATTGAGCTTTTTTAATGACTTCCAAGTGATGTTGTTCTTTGACGCCGACTTATTTACACAAGTGAGCAATCCTAAACGCAGAAAAAAGACCATAATTTATCTTGATACATCTTCCCCTTGATTTCCGTTGTAGTGTTCTTAAACTAGAATGATTTGAATATAAATTGAAAGCCCCCAGCCCTCTCCCTCAAGCTAAACTGTAAATAATAACTCTAAACTTTTTCTAATCTTTGGTAATTGAAGCAAATGCGTTTTGCTGGGCGAGATTTGTTGCAGGCAAACGTACACGCATTCGTTTTTATTTACGAGGAGGCGAGGAAGGCTGAGCGGTGTAATGAGTGAAAATGCATGCTTAATTTAAATGGCGCGAGTGTCTGTTAGGGAATGCATTAGAGTCTGCAAAAGAAGCGTAAGACATATTAATTGACAGACAGGAACCGCTGTCTCTGAGGTTGATACAAGTAATTTATTACTTCAGAAACGAATGCCACCGCCAGAATGTGCTTCATTAATTTCAAATTTAGTTTTAATTTCAAGCTGTTGCCCCTTGAGAAGAATAAGGTGGCAAGTTGTGTTTGAAGAGACGTTATCCCCCTCTCCCTCCCTCATCTTATTCCATTCTCTTTCTCTTCTTCTCTGTGCCTGTATGTTGCATTCTGCACCACGGAACACAAACCTAAGGGTGGGAGGATTCCTGTCTTGCCTCCAATATGATTTCAATGTCAATGTGAACATGTATAACATATTTACATTTAGCAGCTTACAATATGAAATACTGTCTGTAAATATAAGTGTATGATTGCATTCTCCACGACGAGCAAAATTATATGAAGGCGTGTTTTCTTCAGTTACTTCAAAGCAAAGCATTCATATCAATCACATTGTTCATATTATGTAGCTAACAGGTGTCTTTTTGTCTCGTTGAACAGCTTACGTCCCAGAAGATGAGAAAGAGGCCGTCTTGATGGAGGAAGACCTGGATGCAGAGGATTCAGCGCAAGAGGGAGACGAGCCCAGCGCAAAGTTTTTGTGTCAAGAAAAAGACTTTCTCCTCAAAGACAGGCCTGGTTCCACTGGCTTCCACGGCTCCCCGAATGCAGCCGACTTCTCTGGACAGGAGCTGGACAGCGAGTCGCACTTGAGTGAATCCAGTGACAGGATGTCTGATTTTGAAAGCTTGTCCCTAAAAAATGAGGACGACGGCCTTCTTTCTAAGGACTCCTCAAATGCCCTGTCTACCGCCATGTCAGTCGCAGCTGCCAACTCCTCCACTCCAGTAAGTTCAGATGAAGCCATGTTAGTGGCCACGGGATCTGTCGCAGACAGTCTGGAAAAAATGAAGGCCATTTACACATCTTTTCTGACCAACTCCTATTGGTCCACTCTGAATTTAAACCTGGCTCAGCCCCCAGAGCCCCAGCCTCAGCCCAAACGCAGTCACAGCAGTAGTAGCAGCAGTAGCAGTAGCAGTAGCTGTGGAAGTGGAGGCTACGACTGGCACCAAACTGCTATCGCTAAAACTCTTCAGCAGGCCTCTCAAAATCACCACAACAGACTCGCCATGATTCCGCAAACCACTGTAGCCGTCTCCAACGCTTCCAACGAACCCAATCTCTTCAGCACCGTCCAACTCTACCGCCAAAGTTCTAAACTCTACGGCTCCATATTCACCGGAGCCAGCAAGTTTCGCTGCAAAGACTGTAGTGGTGCTTATGACACTCTGGTGGAACTTACGGTGCACATGAATGAGACGGGCCATTATCGTGATGATAACCACGAGACAGACAGTGAAGGGACCAGGCGTTGGTCCAAACCCAGAAAGAGGTCACTGCTGGAAATGGAAGGAAAAGAAGATGCTCAAAAAGTCTTAAAGTGCATGTACTGTGGCCACTCATTTGAATCCCTTCAAGACCTAAGCGTCCACATGATCAAGACTAAACACTATCAGAAAGTGCCTCTGAAAGAACCAGTGACCCCTGTGGCAGCTAAGATCATCTCCAATGCAAGGAAAAAGGTGCCAATTGAACTTGACATTCCCAGCTCGCCAGATTCAAATGGGGCAAACACACCAAAACCTTCCTCCCTCAATGAGCCTAATGACATTCTACAGAAAAACTCCAACCCCTATATCACAGCCAACAACCGCTACGGACACCAAAATGGGGCAAGCTACGCCTGGCAGTTTGAATCAAGAAAGTCACAGATACTGAAATGTATGGAGTGTGGTAGTTCACATGATACACTGCAAGAGTTAACAGCTCATATGATGGTTACGGGACACTTTATTAAAGTCACTAACTCGGCCATTAAAAAGGGAAAACAAATTTTAGAGTCTCCCACACCTGTTTCTATTAACAATATCACAACTGAAGAAAAGGTGCAGTCAGTTCCTCTGGCTGCAACAACCTTCTCACCTCCACCTGCCCCAGTTCCACCTGCCAGCATTTCCCCCTCAGCTTTCATGGTGGAAATTAAAAAAGAAGAAAAAGAGGAGGAATGCACTCAAGAGTCAATGATCCATAACGGTGTTGTAAATAAAGACAGAAAGGCAGGGTGTGATGACGAGGTGGAAGAAAAGTTTGATATTTCTTCCAAATACTCTTATTTGACAGAGGAGGACTTGGATGAAAGCCCTAAGGGAGGGTTGGACATTCTCAAGTCTTTAGAGAACACAGTGACATCAGCTATCAACAAAGCTCAGAATGGTGCCCCCAGTTGGGGTGGCTATCCCAGTATACATGCAGCCTACCAGCTACCAAACATTATGAAACTTTCTCTAGGCAACAAAAATTCCCCCTTGAAATACATGTTTCCAGGTGGAGACATCCTCTCTCCCACAGGAAAAAACCAGCCACTTATCTCCCCTCCAAGCCGCCAAAATTCCCCATTGCCAAAGAATAACTTTCATGCTATGGAGGAACTAGTTAAAAAGGTGACCGAAAAAGTTGCAAAAGTAGAGGAAAAAATGAGAGAGCCCAGAGTTGCTATAAAAGCTTCACCTTTGCGGCGTACCACCCCATCCCCATGTATGAGTGAAGCAGGGGAGTCCGCCAGAGGAGAATCCCCCAAAGAAAACAGAACAGGAGGATGCAAAACTCCAGAGAGCATGGCAGTGGTGGAGAAGGGAGACACCAACCATAAAGAGACTAATGGAGAGGTAAAGGAGAATGGTGTGGACTCTCCATCTGTGACCTCACCTTTGCCATCTATGCTCTGCAGTAGCACAGCTATCATCACAGACCATCCACCCCCAGAACAGCCCTTTGTTAACCCCCTTAGTGCCCTGCAGTCTGTAATGAATGTTCATTTAGGAAAGGCAGCTAAGCCAGCTTTACCCTCCCTGGACCCTATGAGCATGCTATTTAAAATGAGTAACAGTTTGGCAGAGAAAGCTGCAGTTGCTGCCTCCACTCCACCAGCACAAAGCAAGAAACCCTGCAATGACCACTTAGAGCGGTATTTCTACCAGCAACATGTAAGCAATGACCAACCCATAGATCTTACCAAGGGTAAACATGGCGAGAAGAACGGTGGTCCTATGGGTCCGACCACTCTGTCCTCTAGCACCTCCACCCCCTCCTCAGTGTCCCCCTCTGCAGCTGTGACCATGAGTAAAGCCTCAGCCGCTTTAGCTTCCTTCATGTCCTCCTCTCCTCTTAGGGAGAATGCTCTGTCAGATATCTCTGACATGCTGAGGAATCTGACTGAGAGTCAAGTGGTCTCAAAGTCCTCCACTCCAACCAGTCTATCTGAGCGCTCGGACATCGAGGGTGCCACGCATGAGGAGACTGAGGATATTTCACCAGCCCAGAAACGGAAGGGTCGCCAGTCCAACTGGAACCCTCAGCACCTCCTCATCCTTCAGGCCCAGTTTGCCTCCAGTTTAAGACAAACCAATGATGGCAAATATATGATGTCGGACTTGAGCCCCCAGGAGAGGATGCACATCTCCCGCTTCACTGGTTTGTCAATGACAACTATATCCCATTGGTTGGCCAATGTAAAATACCAGCTAAGGAGAACTGGTGGCACCAAGTTCCTAAAAAACTTGGACTCAGGTCATCCGGTCTTCTTTTGCAGTGACTGTGCCTCACAGATTCGTTCCCCTTCCACATATGTCAGCCATTTGGAATCCCACTTGGGGTTTCGTCTAAGAGACTTGGCGAAGCTATCCGGAGAGCAGCTGCTTAGTCAGATCTCACAGCATAACCACCACCGACACACCAAAGGACTGTCTGAAAAATTGCTTTCTAGTCTGCACCCATCCAGCCACCCTCTCCCCTCCTCTCTGCCCACAGCTCTGCCCCCCTCCATACCTATCTCCCTCCCTTCGTCTGTACCCACATCCTTACCCCCGACTAAGTCCCCCTCCCCTGCGGCTGAGGAGGAGGATTGTGGTGCTATGCACCAGTGCAAGCTGTGCAATCGGACATTTGCTAGCAAGCATGCGGTCAAGCTTCACCTAAGCAAGACTCATGGCAAATCCCCTGAGGATCATCTCATGTACGTTTGTGAACTGGAGAAACAGTAGCACTCACTGCGGACAATGCTGCAAATCTTTTGTAATGTCTGACGCTTCCTCGCTCGGATTCTCCGAAGCCTTCACAGACCTTTATTGCGATGGAAAAAGGACCATAAATGTGATAGAACTGCACAAGGATGCCATAAAACTACTGCTCTGACTTTTGGCACATGCTTTTTCAAAATTTGTGTTGTAGCAGTTTGTTATTTTTATGTGAAATAACTCACTTGGGCCCAAGACATTCAAATGTTGTGCTCTGGTTTGATGGAAACTAAGTGACTTTTCAAAATTGAGCAGGCGGGGGCTGTTTGTCACTGAAATGCTTCTGTATATGAAGGTTTTAAAAGACATTTTAAAATGAAGTGGTGTGTATTTTGAAAACTCGTGGAGTTGAGTTCATTTATATTTTGACATCACTGGGGTGTTAAGCTGCATGCATAAAGAAAACAGTTTAGTTGAGCAGTGGAAAACTAAATCTGGTGCACTTTGTAATTATAATTTTGGTCATCACATTTTATTGATTTGTTTTACACATTCTGTGCTAAGCCAGCTGTTTAGATTTAACCCTCTGAGTACGTCAAAGCACTTCTTTAAGATTAGAGATTGTAAGAGCAGATTGTTAGGCAGTTTAAAGGGACCATGTGGTGTAAACTTGGCATGAGATTTTTGAAACAATTTAATGTGAACTTATCCAAAATAACGACTTTAAAACAATGACTGCATTTGTGTTTTGGGGTGATCAGGGGCCTTTTTCTGAATCAGGTCAGTGTAACATATGTATATAAAATGTTATTATCAACTAATTCATGTCTAAATTATGCATCTTTTTATATTTTTAATTTAAAAAAGATAATGACTATCTACTGGTTGACAGTATATGAAGAAAATTGTTTTGCACAATAGTTTTATAAATGTGTTATTTAATCCCCAAAAAATTGCTGATGAAAAGGATGACAACAGGTGAATTCATGAATTTTCACCTCGTGCTCAAAGGGTTAAATGTCTTTTTACCTGACATGTGCCACTGTATGAAATATTAAAGGTTGTACAAAAGATGTTACTTTATAAAGTTATTTATCAGCTCTCTGTTTCCTATTGTTGAATGCTTTTTTAGTTTTGCTCCAACTTTACCCCTACCTAATTACTTGCCATATATACACACTGCAGCTTTATATTTCGGGGATCTGAAAGGGAACTACGGTCGCTCTAGCCTATGAGTGACAAGCTCTGCTATAATTTTGGCAGTAAATTGGTGAAGTAACTGACAGCTGCCGGTGTGAAATAGTGAAATGGAAAAAAAAAAAAATCTTTCTGTGTAAAATATTGGCATGTAAACAGCACAGACCCTGTTATGAATCCTGTGCCGTTCGTCCTTTCATTTCCTTCTTTGGTTTTCGGTTGTTGTTGTTTCTTGACAATGAACCCCCCCATTATATGACTTCATATAACCTTGTTTTCTACTGCCGCATTAAAAAAAGGAACCTGTTTTTTGCAATTGCGTGTGTGTGCATCATATGTGTCATGGCTATCAATTACATGTGAGCTGTGCAGTGCCTAATGAGCACATTAGAGTGGAGTGTGTCATCGCCGTGGTGACGGGACATGCAGGGGGGAGGAGGCTGAGTGGCAGCAGGGGCCGGGGACACACACATATATACACACACATTGTTCAGGCCAGACACAACCAGCTCCAGCCTTTGTCCCTGAGTGCTGACCAAGACATGGTGTAATACAAACAAAATATATATGAAAGTTTGGGGAAGAAAAATAAAGTTTCTGTGCAGCAAATTATATTGTTGCAGCATACAGCGTTGCTCTAAATACTGCAGTGGTTTTATTCTACAACGATGTTAGGAGCCATCAGCATGTAGTAGCCAACAGTGTCCTAAACAGAATCTATATATATGTAAAATGATGTTTATGTTTACTAATTATTATTCTATAAGCTTTGGATAAGAAGCTAAAATGATGAACAAGATAACAAATAGACATTCAAGGAAATATATACAAAATAATGAAATATTACTGCTCACGACCGCTTTAAAATGATCTTACGACCCACTTTTGAGTCCTGACCCAAAAGATGAACAGCTGACATATCACATTCCACACATGATTCTCAACCAGGGGTGCAGGCGCTCAGCAGGGGATACATGGAATTATTGCAGATTGAAAAGAAAAGTGGGAAGATTTCAAGCACATCTTAAACATGTTTCTGTAGGCCGATAAAAATATAAAAGAATTTGAGAAGGAAGAGAATTTGTGCCCAACTGGGGAATGTTGATGTATATATAAGTTAAACAAAATAATATACTGGCAAATGCACTATTACAACTATTAAACATGAATTATAACTGGAGGGAGACTCTCTTGGCTGGCCTGGGAACGCCTCAGAATTCCCTGGAGGAAGTGAAGTGCTTGGACTGCTTCCCTCGTGACCTGGATAAAGCGGAAGAAGATCATGGATTAACAAAGAATTATCACCAATTCTGCGGGTACTTTGATGAGGTAATCAAAGCAAGTACAGTTAAGACCCACTGATACATGACTAATATTCAGGCCGTATATCCCAACTGCCAACCTCAACATGGGAGAGAATGAAAGTATCAAAGTATGAGGTCAATTATAATTCAAAATTATCAATTAAATTCAATTAAGTTTATTCTTGTATAGTTCTAAATCACAAATCAGAGAATAAAACAGGACAAACACAAGGTATTCAAGAAAAAAAACCACACAGAGCCATTGGTCCAAAAGAGGCAGATGACCAATGTCCATAAATGTTGTTGAGTGTCCTGGATCAGCAGGGAAAAACTCCCAAAGCACATTGGGAAGAGGTAAGAAACCTCGCAGAAGTCCAAATTGAGAGAGGGATCCGCTCCCAAGGACGGACGGGCTATTATCACAAACCTTTTATTCATGTTAGATAATGTAGGTATACTTTATTGCAATCTGCATTGGCTCATCCTTCCAATACCGCTAAGCTTTTACAGTGATCACAACAGAGCAGATTCCAGGGACCCATTTCCACATCTGGTGAGGACAATGGGGAGCTGGAGGATTTCAGTGTTGATGCATGTTTTGACTGGAAGATTTGGTCATGCAGAGAAAGAGAACACACAATGAAATACAGTGTGTTGTCCTAAAAGAGGGTAACAATGCTTCACCTGACTACATACTAACAACACATTTAAACGTCAGTTACTCTCACAATAAATAAATGTGTTTGGCGCCACTGAATACATATGACAAAGCATCCATATCAACAACATCTACCAAATGAATAGAAAAGCTGCAAAATGTTACCACATTTAGTAAGAAGGACATCGTAATGTGGTATCAAATAAAGAAAGAAGTATTTAAATATTTAAATATTTAAATAAGAATTTAAAGTCCATATGAATGAAATAAGTCTTTTGAGACACACCAAACTCAAGTCACTTTCAACAAGGGCAATAGAGAACTGAAAATGTTCAATTAACATATGAAGTGTGTATCAAACCGTGTGTTACCATTGTACTTTATAATTACAGTAAAAAGGAAAAGAATAGACCTTTGCTATATTTTGCCTGATCCTCAACTCCTGAAGTGTGTAGAGCTATTCATGCTATGTCTAACTGTACAGGTATTATGGAAGCCTGGTAATAGAAAAAATAATAATAAAAAAACTCATGCTCAACACTAGAGAAAATTCTCCACAGTGTTGAGCTCCTGGATGCATAGCTAAAATGTGGCACAATAATTCTCCTATAAGCCAAGAGATATCCAATATGAAGACTGTAAACAACATTATAAGGCATTCCAGTTATGTTTAAGATTGAGCGACAAAATAAATGATCCTTTTTAATCACTCATGCGAACCGCTCATGCAGACGCAGGTAGACAAGGTGCTGCTGTTTGGGGAAATGTCATGGCTTTAGGAGTGACACCCAAAGTCTAGCGCTGTGTTTTGGGCTCTCATTAGCCTCGAAGAAAATATGTGTGAAATTGACGTCAAAGAAAGCCATTTCCCGTTTATAATGCTAGTTCCTGTGAATGGCATTAAACTACAAATAGTGTTAATGTTTGTAATTTATTGGACACTCTTGCATTATTCATTCTCTCCTCAGTCAGTGGTTTATGTAGCCACAGCTGCCCTGGCATAGGATTAACAGACCAAAAGCCAAATATGCAGAATCAGCACATCCGTGGTGAAACAAAGGAGGAACGAAAACCCAGGAATGCAAAATATATGATTTAATGAACATAACAAAATCCAAACAAAAAGTCCAACAACAAACAAATACTCAAAATCCAAACGAAACCAAGAACATAGAAAGAATAGAGAGACAAAGACATTGACACTTATACTTACTGTATATGGACACAGAGAGACACAGGTGAAACACATGAAGGTGGGGCAAACATTTATCCAGGACAGACAGTAAAAGAATATCACAGGGACAAGAATACAATCGCACAATCGACTGACAACAAGAGGAGATGAGCACAGGGTTTATATACAGTACACACAGGGACACACAGGTGAAACACATAGGGCTGGACAGACATCAACAGAACAGGAAGAATAACTGAAAGACACATGAGAATAAATACAAAATAAAACAGTGTGAGGGGCCGACGTTGCGGTAGGAAACACACTAATGTAGATGTTTAGGCTTTTTAATATACCCTAAAGGTGTCAAAATTACACATAAATGAGGCTAAAATCAAATACTGGACATGGCAAAAACTGACCTGCCACAAAACACATAGAAGGAACATTTAAGCTGGGGGGTCAAACAAACTATTAATCAAAAGGGGGTAACAGGACTACACAAAACAAATACACACAATATTACGTAAATTAGCTTAGGTATAATTTAAATAAACCTGAGCAATAATAATGGTCAGTAATGATAATCATAATATTGGAAACTTATATGCTTATAATCAATATGAACTCAAATACACCTCCCAAATGTCCCCTCTCCTGGGCCTGCCATGGTTCAGGCCATAGGGTGGAGCCT